CAGAGGAAAAACAGCAAGAAACAATGACACAGGAAAATTCCAATTACATAAAGTTCAAAACCAGGCCATATAGATAGATATTTATGGTAATTTAGGGATACATAGGTAGGCAGGAAAATTTTTCTTCAAAAAAGGCAAGGAAATGATTACCATAAAAGTCAAGATAGTGATTAGGGAGGGAGGGGATTATGTTTGGGAAAGGATAACAGAAAGGATTCTAGGGTGCATTGTTCTATTTCTTCATTTGGAGGGTGATGACATGGATGTTCGTTTTATATTATTTTAAAACTGTACATAAGTTTGTGTACATTTCTGCATATATGTTATCATTTCCCCCCATAAAAAGTTTACAAAGAAACAAATGAATCAAGAATTTTTGAATTCTTTCAACTAGATTGTAAATGTCCTCAGTGTGATAAACTATATTTGACAAAATACAGTCCTAAGGAAGACAAGCTGGGAAGCTAGCAATGGAAAACAAATACCTGGAGGACAGGAAAGGCATAATGTTGCCCTTAGAAAAAGGGACAAATGGATACACGGAGTAATACTTGCTCAGGTGGAACAACCCAATGTTTCTTAATCACTACACTTTTTAGATTTTTTTTGCTTTTCATTTCAACTTTTCGGTTATATTACTAATCCTCCAATTGTCTTTTCTTAAAACTCCCGAACATACTGAACAATCTCACACAAAGCACAATAAGAAGAAAAAAATGCATATCCTGCTCTATCTAGGCTGTGAAGTTCCCAGACCTTCCCAACTGGAAAACAATCAGTCACTGTGCTTTTGACTTCATCTGGTTTATCTTCTCTGGGCTCAAAATGGCCCAAAATGGAATTAAACTATTTTCACAAAAGTTAGAAATTATAATTTGAAATAAGCACATTTTATTCCAGAAGTTGTAAGGAAAGAAATAATGTAAACTTTATTTGTTCATTTTTCCATCCTGTCAACTGAACAGCAAGAGTATTCAACATGTCCTTGTCACTGCTCCATGGCAGGGTGGGCTTGAGCGTTCTCACTAATCAGAAGCCCCTCCTCACCCTCTCACCACACTCTGTAATGACCCACCTCTGTTCTGAGAAGAAATGTTGAGAATGTGCATTATTGTACATAAAAATAACAAAGCAGGAATTTATCTGTACTGCTCAGAGTATTTATAAATATTTACACATGTGAAGAATATATATTCATATCAGTGCAAACCACCAGGAGATGACAGAAAGTGTTGGCTTAAAAGGTACTGAGTTGAAGTATTAAGTTGGAGACACATGGTGCCCAGAGAATCATCTGTAATATTAAAAAAGAACCATCAGTCAAGATGGGGCTTAGATTACAGAGAAAACAGATTGGGTAGGAGTCACAGGACAGATGAGAGTAGGACAAGACATCTGGGACCCATAATCCAAACCTCTGGCTACCATCGCCCCATTTCACTGCCATTTCAATTGAATGGATAAAAGATTCAAGCAAGTGTTACCCCAAGATGAAACGAGTGGAGAATTTTCACCTTGAAGTTTCTTCAAGATGTGTTCTTGGCCACTGTGATGGTTATTCTGTGTGTCAACTTGACTTGGCCATGGAGAGCCCAGATATTTGATCAAATATTACCCTGGATGTTTCCCAGAGGGTGTTTTGGATGACATTACTGTTTAAATCAGTACACTGAGTAAAGCAGATTGCCCTCCCTGATGTAGGTGGCTCTCATGCAATCATTTGAAGGCCTGAATAGAACAAAAAGGCTGACCCTCCCCCAAATAAGAGAGAATTCCTCCTGCCTGAATATCCTCAAACTGGGATATTGGCTTTTTCTTGCCTTCAAACTTGAACTGAAACATCTCCACTTCCTATGTCTTAAGCCTCCCAGCCTTCGGAATGGAACTACACCACAGGCCTTTGGATTGGTACTGGAACAATGCCATCAGCTCTTCTGCGTGGCCAGTTTGCTGGCTGACCCTACAGATCTTGGGACTTGTTAGCCTCCATAATCACCTGAGCCAATTGTTTATAATAAATCTATATTTATATCTATCTATATCTGTATCTACACACACACATATCCTATTGGTTCTGCTTCTCTGGAGAACCCTAACTAATACCCCTATACTTCTCCCCATGAACCATACCTGCCCAGGACCTGTCCTATTTTCACTACCGCTAGTACAAAAATGACCTTGGTGTGCCTTCTTCCTCTCTCCTACCTATTCTCTAGGTCAAATGAGCGGGAAGAGGAGGGAAAAGCAATAAGGCCACTTACAGAAATAAAAAAAAAAACAACAAAAAAAACCTTTTCATCGCTTTACAGGAAAAAAACATGTCTCATCCCTTTCTGTGTGAAACCAAACTAATTACTGGAGGGAGGGGACTGCTATAATTACTGATACGATGCATACATATTTGCAAAGGAAAACAGAGAAAAAATTTCAATATCCACACATAAAATTCAGAAACTACTATCTGTGTAAGATATTTGAAGGAGGGGGAAGAATGAAAAGAATTAGAAAATGCTTCATAAAAAAAACTATTGTATGTTATAAATATCTACTTATGAAATATGGGCATAAAACATCTGAATCTGCATGGTATAGATCAAATACTTAAAAGTAAAATATATTTAAACCATTGTTACTCTCATCCATTTTTTTAAACATATGTAAAATAAAATGATAAATTCTACCACATTAACATTTTAAAACCTCTGTATATTAAAAGATACTATAGAGAATGAAAAGATAAGTTACAAAATAT